AATGTTTTTTCATGCCCCCTTCACGAAAAAGGGTTCTTTCTTTTTTAGTTTTTTTTTTTCGTTTTTTATTTTTTTTTTTTTTTTTTGGTAGAGGACTGGCTGTCTCGCATAGCAAACTTACCAAAATAATATTTGAGCTATTTACATTTAATTTAAACACTTTACTTCATGTCTTTGGCGCTATTTGGTTAAATAAATAAAAATCACAACGCAAACCAATTGGGATTTTTCACAAAATTCTTATTAAATTCACTTTTCAATAAATATGCAAATAGTACTACAATTCTATTCTATATTCAATAAAAAAATACATGGTTGCATTTGGTGAGAGGTGTTGCCAACGACAGTCCTTTTAAAAAAGCTCTGAATTAAAATAGACGATTTTTATGTAAACATTTTTATATTTTAATCTTTTTTCAATTTATATCGTAATTTTTAAGACACTTTGCAGAAATTGCCTCCAAAAACTGTAAAAATACGGTTTAAATATTAGATGAAATACTTCAAAATCGTTTATTCCTAAATTTATGGAGTCGACTTTAAAAAACTATTTAAATGTATTAAAAAACAAATATTTCAGCTGCTATTTATAAAAAAATTCTTCCTATCAAGAGAAAATTTGATGTTCTGTAAATCGAATTTTTATTTGAACATCAAAATCAGGTTTTGATTGGAAAAAAAGTAACTATATTTTAGAATGATCGGCACCTTTATATAAGGTCACCCGTTGTATATGATTTTCGACGTAATTAACACATAATGAATAAAAACATATATATCATGTGAATTGGTTTTGAAACTAAAAATTTTTACTCGGACTCAATTTACAAAACAAACATGTATAAACATTTTAGTCTTATTAATAATTTAAAAAGTAAAAAATGTATGCGTTAACAACACTACTACAATTCTATTCTACACACGGTTGCTTCGTTTTGCAGCGATGCGATGAAAACGTACATAATTGTAGCATTGCCATATTTTCCAAATAGGAAAATCATGGATTCTATAGAATATTTATGGTGAAAAGGACAAAAAGGAGCGGCAGGAAACGAAACGAACAACGAACGAACGAAAACGAACGAACGAACGAACGAACGAACGAACAACAAACGAACGAAACGAACGAACGAACGACGAACGAAACGAACGAACGAACGAACGAACGAACGAACGAACGAACGAAAAACGAACGAACGAACGAACGAACGAACGAACGAACGAACGAACGAACGAACGAACGAACGAAAGAACGAACGAACGAAACAACGAACGAACGAACGAACGAACGAACGAAACGAACGAACGAACGAACGAACGAAAAAACGAACGAACGAACGAACGAACGAACGAAACGAACGAACGAACGAACGAACGAACGAACGAACGAAACGAACGAACGAACGAACGAACGAACGAAAACGAACGAACGAAACGAACGAACGAACGAACGAACGAACGAACGAACGAACTAACGAACTAACTAACACGAACGAACGAACGAACTAAACGAACGAACTAACGAACTAACGAACGAAACGAACTAACTAACTAACGAACGACAACGAAACGAACGAACGAACGAACTAACGAAACGAACGAACGAACGAACTAACGAACTAACGAACGAAAACGAACGAACTAACGAAACGAACGAACGAACTAACGAACAACTAACGAACTAACGAAAACGAACTAAACTAACGAACTAACTAACGAACGAACAACGAACGAAAACGAACGAACTAACTAACAACGAACTAACGAAACTAACGAACGAACGAAACGAACACTAACGAACGAACTAACGAACGAACGAACGAACGAACTAACGAACGAACTAACAAAAAAAAAACGAACGAACTGAACGAACGAACTAACGAACGAACTAACGAACGAAAAAAAAAACGAACGAACTAACGAACTAAATAACTAACAACTAACTAACACTAACGAACTAACTAAACTAAACTAACTAACTAACTAACTAACTAACTAACAAACTAAACTAACTAACTAACTAACTAACTAACTAACTAACTAACTAACTACTACTAACTACTAACTAACTAACTAACTACTAACTAACTACTAACTAACTAACTAACTAACTAACTATACATACGAATATATATACATACTTTCAGGATGAAAAATAAATTTAAATAATAAAATAATATGTAGGTAGCATACTTTCAGGGTTGCCAAATCCAATGACCTTGAAAATTTTGACATAACGGTATTTGTGGTGAATTTCTATTTTATTCACCACAACTTTATTTATTCACCACAATTTTGTATATTCACCACGATCTTTTAAATTCACCACACTTTTTCACCACGACACAAAAAAACAAAAATTTTTTTTTCCTTCTGGGGGTGGGTGGTGGTGTTCGTCGTCGGCCGGTCGTCCGCGCCCTTTTTTGGTTTTTTTTTTCTTCAAAATTCTGTTTTTTTTTCGCTTGCATGCATGCATGCTTTTTTGTTTTTTTTTCATCGTTTTTTATCGTTATTTTTTTTTTGTTCGTTTTTGTTATTTTTTTGTCCGTCGTTCACGCGTTTTTTTTTGTTTGTTGGTTGTTGTTGTTTTTGGTGGGTGTGTGGTTGGGTGTCTGTCGTGTGTGTGCGTGCGTGTTTTTTCTCTGCAGGGCTTGCGTCGTTTGTCTTATTTATTCGAAATTTAAATGATAAAATATTATGGGAATTCCGAAAAAAGCTAGATTTGGCGGAAACTTGTGTCATCACTAACACTAATTTTGTTATCGGCGATTTATCATCACTATGTGCCATACATACAACCCTGCATTTTAATTTAAAAACAACTCTGCAGTACGAAAATACAACTCTAAACACTGTATTACCAACAACAGCTGTCGAATTGACAGTTTTGACACCTGTCAAAAAGCGCAGCCAACTTCAGGTCGGTGAACTGCAATACCGACAACTTCCTTTCTAGTTTTTTTCTTGAAGGTATGCGTACTGAAAAATTTTTGAATGCAAAAAATATCATGAAAAATCAAATAAATTTAAATAAAAACAATAGCGAATAAAAGTGAAATTGAAAATAAACATTATAAATTAAGTGAAACAATTTAACTAATTGAATTTCTTCTATATTTTCTAACTTTTTTCGATGCTACAACACAAATGACAACAAACAAAAACACTTTGCCTCCGAAATGCTCTTCTTCATTCATTGGACCACAAATGTTTTGATTGTGTGACTGCTATAATGATGCCTCTAAATCACTTCTGGAATGTTTGTGTAAAATAGCCGACAAAATGGTTCAACGTTTGACTTTAAGAAGACGTCTGTCCTACAACACCAAATCCAACAGGAGACGTATGTAAGTAAACAAACCACTTCACAGCAACATTTTAAACCAAGAGGTTTTTCATGAAACCATTAGTTAACTTTCCAACAACAGAATTTTGTAAATAAAATATGAATTCTCCATTTTAGTGTCCGCACCCCTGGTGGTCGTTTGGTTTACCAATACGTCAAGAAGAACAAGACTGTCCCAAAGTGCGGTCAATGTAAGGAAAAGTTGAAGGGTATCCGCCCCACTCGCCCCTGCGAACGTAGCCGTTTGTCCAAGCGCCAAAAGACTGTCGCCCGTACCTACGGTGGTGTTCTCTGCCATGGCTGTTTGCGCGAACGTATCGTTCGTGCTTTCCTCATCGAGGAACAAAAGATCGTCAAGGCTTTGAAGAGCCAACGTGAAATGCTCGTCAAGCCCGTTAAACCCGTCAAGGTTGCCGAAAAGAAGCCCGCCAAGACTGCCTCCAAGGCCACCGGCAAAGCTGCCCCCAAGAAGCCCGCTCAAAAAGCTGCCGGCAAATCCAAGAAGTAAATAATTTAACACATCCAAATTAGCTGCAGAGTGTTTTTTGAGTGTTAAGTTAGTTCTTCCTAAGATTTAAGTGACGTGTGTGTTGTATACAAAAATTAATAATTTTATTATACAAAAAAATATCAGTGTAAAGTCAACAACATTGATAAAAAATGAAGTGAAAAACATTTTTACATTAAAACAAAAAAATCTAAAACAAATTGTTTTTTAATGAAAAAAAAAAAAAAAATGCAAATTGTGTTTTTATTTTGTAACACAAAAGGATTTAACGATTTGAGCCACAGTGGAAATCAGATGCAATCGAAAAGTGTTTATAACATATTTTGAACAAAAATAGTGTTTACAATGAGCACCAAACAATCAGTTGGACATTTATTTAGGAAAGAAAGTGAAAGCAAACTTATTTATAACGTAAACAAGTAAAAGTGTTTTATATTAAAATCGTATATCCTGTAAACTTAGAGAGAATTTCGGAAGAGGGCTTTATATAGAACTTAGATCTTCAAGCTTTTTATTATCATATATTGTCGGTATCATGTGAACATCAGGGAGATCTATAGAATAAGGCGTTTAACCAAAGTTTGGGTCAATTATGGACCGGAGCTTTTTGAATTTAAACGACTAATCTTTATACCCTACACCACCATAGTGGAGAGGGTATTATACGTTTGTGCTGATGTTTGTAACGCACAAAAATTGTGGTCCTACACCCACCTTAAAGTATACCGATCGACTCAGAATCACTTTCTGATTCGATTAAGCCATGTCCGTCCGTCCGGCTGGCTGTCCATGTAAACCTTGTGCGCAAGGTACAGGTCGCAATTTTCAAGATATTTTGAAAATGGTTCAAATCGGTCCATTATTTCACCTAGTCCCCATACAAACCTACCCCCAGGAAAGGGCTTTTCGGCAAAACTTAGTTCTATATATGTCTTAATAATACTACCAATTTTCTTAATTATCGGACTTTATTTGACCCTAGCCCCCATACAAAGTCCAGTTCAGAAAATGACTTGATGGTCAATAATTCACTAATAAACCCTAGTATCACTATGAAATCCAGCATACATAACTCTAATGTAAACGTAAAGCCATGTACCAAAATTTATAAGGATAGGGTCATATTTACCCTTGCCCCCATATAACCTCTCTTTTAGAAATTCACTTTTTTCAACAAATTGTTAAAATATTTCGGAATTAAAGTAAACAACTTAAATGCTTTGTTATTAAATATAATCCAAATTTTTAACATACTCAGTGGTGTAGGGTATCATATGGTCGGCCATGCCCGACTATACTTTCCTACTTGTTTTTGTTGTATTTATGATATGTACTAAGTTTTTAGAATGATTAATTGGGAAACTGATTTCTTGTAAATGGTAGAATCAATCAATTTAAGACCAATCCTGATAAAATTTGGTAGAGGGATATTAGGTTTGTTTACACAGACTTCCATCGCTACACAAGTATGTTTAAGTTAGTAATAAGCGTTGAAAGGGAACATTCTAATACTGGGCCCAAATTATGGCATACGATATCGATCGAAATCTCCATTTAGACTCTATTGAGATTTCGATCCATTTAGACTCTATTGAGATTTCGATCCATTTAGACTCTATTGAGATTTCGATCGATATCGTATGCCGTAATTTGGGCCTGGGTCAATAAATAAATTTGTTTACATATTCCCCCCTATTCTGCATTTCGATTACGTTTCCGCATCCAGTTACGCTACGATCGAAAATTGGTATTCCAACAAAAAACGGAATCGGAAGAAAAAGAAGAAGCCATTCCATTTTATTTCAATGCTTTACGATTGTTTGTGTGTCGGAGAATCGTATAGAATCGCAGAATACCAAAGCTGCTAAACGGAGAAAATTTCGATTCGAATTAAAATGCAGAATAGGGGTGATTAGAGTTGTCATACTTATATCATCTTAAATCGATATATTTTTGAGATAACGGTACTTTTGCATAAAAGTAAAACTTTTACATGCCTTTCCATTGATACCCCTATATGTATCTCGGTTATTGGTAGGTATATATCCATTTATATATCAAAATTTTAAGGGCCCAGAACTGCCGCAACTGAATAAAGTAGATACATATTATATTCATTTTTGTACTTGGCGGAAGGAGGACTATTATATTGTGTATATGATTTCTTAAAATAATTATATTAAGTTATGCCTTTTTTGGAACGATAATTTTACAAACAGATTTTCTCTAATTTTAGGCCGATTCGTATAAAACATGATGAATTTTGTTCAAACACAACTAGTTTGTAACGAATTTCATCTTAATAATGGTATTCTGAAGCCGATAATGAGCGTTGAAGTTATTTTCTGAAAGGACATTTTTAGTAGAGTGAGTTATGGACCTAACCTCAAAATTTTTGATCTTATACGGTGGGACTTGAAATTTTTAGTTTCTTCCTGTATGTTGGGAAGGAATTATATAAAGGCTTTTTGATTTGGAATAAGTAGGCGAGGTGATACGCCCACATACAAAATAAGAATTTAGAGTAGCATACCTCAGAAACTGCAACAGCTAGAGTCCTCAAATTTTGTATGGACAACTTCAACATTCATATAAACAAAATGGACTGCGCTTCCCATATAAATAAAATATTAAATTAGCATATCTGAAAAATATAACAGCCCTCGGGCGGACTAGCAATTGGTAATTTGTCTACTCCCATAAGATTTAAAATGTATGGGATCGGACTAGCAATATGAGTCGTAGAACCTCCCACATGTATTAAATACAGTTAGTTTATCTGGCAAACTATTACAACTAGAATTTTAAAATTTTGCACACAGAACTTTGACATGAGAGGATTTTTGTTAATCATAGCAATAGGAATGGATTCAATTCTGTTGGTTATAATAAATGATGAAAAAGCCTTTTTAATAATTATTATTAAGCCCAGTGTTTGCTAATTCCGAAAATGACAATAGGGCCATAGTCATAAATGGCAGTTTCAAAACCTCAGTATTTGAAAACTTAAAATCAATTTGTTAAGCTAATTTTAAAATATTAAAAGAACTTCATGTGTATAAAGGACGTTAAATAAAGGAATATATTATCTCCGAAGTTTTATTAATATCGAATAATATAACCTATAAACTCTGAAGATCAAAACTAATAATATAAGTTTTCAACCGATTCGAATGAAAATTGGGAAAGATGGGTTATAATTTTTGGATTAATTTTTAATTTTTTACTTTTACAAACAAAAATTCTTATTAAGTAGAAATTTGTAAACGGTTCTGGCCTATAGGCTAGGTTATAGAATATTGTTATATAAAAATTAAATTAAAATTCCAAATTTTGCGTATAAATTGTTCAGAATATGAGTCCCAGAATATAGGTCCCATACATACATAATTCGTAGATTTTCAAATACTTTTACATGTAATTCAAAAACAATACCGTTTCTGACACGTTAGTTTTATTTTCTAAATTTCAATTAAATTTTCTATTTGTTTGTTTTTAATATAAATTTGGAAAAATTAAGTTAAAAATGTAAATTTAAAATATCCTTTAAATTAAATATGTCCGCCTTATTATAGAAATCAAAATTTGAACATTTTTACAGTCATATGCAATTTCCAATTAGAACAATAATACCCCCAACACCCACACATTCCAAAAGGATTAATGAAAAATACAACCCTGCTACCCCATTGAACACACAATAGAGATGACATTTTCTTACAATAATCGCTCCATTAACATGACAACATCTCAGTGCTAACATCACTAGTTTGTGAAAAAATGGCCGAAAAAATGTTTTGTTACCGCGACGGTCGTCAGTGTTTTACGCGTTTTGTGTTAATTCTAAGCTTTATTTTGCAACTAAAAACAGGTTGGTGTTGAACTAAACCCTTAAATTTGATAATAAATATGAAATTTGTGTAAAAATCCATGAAATTTAAGTGAAAACTTGAAATAATTTTATAAGGCTTCGCTGTGTGCAGTTTTTAGTTTGTTTTTTTATTTGTACGTCAATCTCTTTAATTGTTGGGTTCAATATATGGTGTACTCTTTTACTCCAATAAGAATTTGAACAGGTGTTGTTGTTGTTTTTAGTGAGTTTAAAACAAACAAACAAAAAATGCAATAACTCAGTGAATGAGAATAGTGTGGTGTTTTTGTTGTTTTCTTTTTATTGGAAATTTTAATTTGTTTATTTGTTTATAAATTATGGTTCGTTGTTGTAAAAAGAATTTGTTATGTTTATAAACAATAACATAAAATAATTATGTATCAATATATAACTATAATAGAAATTGCAGCAAAAGAAAAATGTCTGTTTGTCCTCCGTCTGTGTTTCATTTACCAATCATTGGTATGTGCGTGAATTTATGTTAAAATTATTTTATAATTTTAAATATTTGTTTCTCAAAAAAGAAAATTAAAATATAAACAAATACCCTATAAACCAAAAAGAATATTTTTCTTGGTACGGAATTTATAAAAAGCTCCAAATTTACCATAATGTGTGTGAACTAAAAAAGTAAAAAGAAATAAATTATAGCCTTGGCCGATCTTATAATACCCTGCACCAGCTTTGTAAATTTCATTGCTATGCCAATCGGTTCTTTTCGCCCAGAAACCAATCGGAGTTCAACGAACAATGACCAAGGATTGTGAACTCAGCATCACCGACCTAACATATGACGCTGCTACAACAACAACGTGTAAAACGATTTTAAGTAAGATGTTTAGGGTCGGTCAACTATAGAAATTCTGACGGTGGTTATGGTAAATATATATGCATTATAGAGAGGATTAGACTATAGACTAGACTAGACTACAGACTAGACTACAGACTAGACTATAGACTAGACTACAGACTAGACTACAGACTAGACTGCAGACTAGACTACAGACTAGACTACAGACTAGACTACAGACTAGACTACAGACTAGACTACAGACTAGACTACCGACTAGACTATAGACTCCCTAGTCCTTGGCCTAGACTATCGACTAAACTATTGGCTAGACTATAGACTAGGCTATAGACTAGATAGACCAAAGGCTCGACTATAGACTGGACAAGAACTAGATTATGGATTAGATATAGACCAGACCATATACTAGACTATAGGCTAGACTATAGACTAGACCATAGACTAGACTATTGACTAGACTATAGACTAAACTATAAACTTGACTATAGACTATAGTCTTGACTATAGGCTAGAATATAGACTAGACTATAAACAAGACTATTGACGAAACTATAGGCTATGGACTATAGACAATACTATTGATACTAGATTTTCTAGTACACTATAGACTAGGCTATAGACTAAGCTAAAGACTCGAATATAGACTATAGCCTAGATTATGGACTAAATATAGACTAGACCATATATGAACTAGACTATAGTCTAGGCTAGAGAATAGACTACACCATAGACTAGACTGTTGACTAGACTATAGACTAAACTGTAGACTTAACTATAGAATAACTGTGGCCTAGACTATAGACTAGAATATAGACTAGACTATAGACAAGACTATTGACGAAACTATAGGCTTGACTATATACTAGATTGTGGACTATACTATATACTAGACTATAGACTAGATTAAGACTAGACTATATATAGGGTAGACTAGACTATGGACTAGACTATAAAAAATACTATGTACTAGACTATAGACTAGATTAAGACTATAGAATAGATTAAGTCAAGACTATGATTATAAATATATATAGACAATAGACAGTCTATTGAATAGACTAGACTATAGACTTGACTATAACTAGACTATAGACTAGATTATAGACTAGACTATAGACTAGACTATAGACTAGACTATAGACTAGACTATAGACTAGACTATAGACTAGACTATAGACTAGACTATAGACTAGACGATAGACTAGACCATAGACTAGACTATTGACTAGACCATAGACTAAACTATAGACTTTACTATAGACTAAACTATAGTCTAGGGCTATAGGCTACAATAAAGACTATACTATAGACAAGGCTATTGACGAAACTATAGGCTGGACTATAGACAATACTATTGATACTAGATACTAGATTTTATACTATACTTTAGACTAGGCTAGACGATAGACTAGACTATAGACTAGAATAAAGACTGTACTATAGACTGGACTATAGATTAGATTATGGACTAGATATAGACTAGGCCATATACTAGACTATAGGCTAGACAATAGACTAAACTGTTAACTTAACTTAGACTAGAATATTGACTAGACTATATACAAGACTATTGACGAGACTATAGACTAAACTATTGAATAGACCATAGACTAGACTATAAAATATACTATAGACTAGACTATAGACTAGATTATAGACTATGGACTATAATAGACTATAGACTAGTCTAGACTCTTGACTAGACTAGTTTTATATATTACGAACGTCAGCATGAATGCATAACATCCTTCAAACAATAGTAGGGTTTAAACATAAATTTGATTTATACGTTAGATATGATAAATTGCCGATAGTGTTTAACCGATAATTGTTCACCACTGTTATTTATTTTTCAAAGTCATCGAAAATGTTGCATCCTAAAAATAGGCTGGTAATTTATGATGTTGCGCTACTTAACACTAGGTGGCGTTCTAAATGCTTAAAATCAGTTTATTGTTTAATATTTGAATAAAACGTTATGTTCTAATTTCGAAATTAATGTTTATTTTTATTTTAAAAGCTATAAAATCTAATTATAATTTATAAACCATCATATTATATTTTAATAAATTAAATTAAACAATTTTTATTATATTCTGTCGACTCACATATTGTAACATCTTAATCTCTTGGACATCTTTACAATTAATATTGTATCTTCAAGCAATTTTTTTCTGGCTTTTGAAAACCGTTACCTGGCGTTAAGTTATTTACAGTTATAAATATTATAACTTCTTACAACTTCTTTAATTTATTAGTTCAGTTTTTTTATACAATTATCTTCAATTTTATATTAAAAATTTACATCACGTTTAGTGTTTTTCTTCAATCACTTTAAAACTTACAACACTCCAAGGTATTTTTATTTAAACTTTGTTCTTTTTTTTTGCTGTTCTTCTAACCACCTAAACGTGAAAGAAATTAAAGTTGATTTTTTATTTTTTTGCTTTTAATCAAGACAATCAAAACAAATTTTTAGTTTGTTTATTTGATGCCAGCAAATTGATTTCTTGTTATAAATCACACCAAAATATTTCACATTCTGTGGCAGAGTTAAAGTAACATGGAACATGCCACTAATGGACATGTATGTGATATTTTTGCAATATTTTTTTTTCTTTATTAAAGCAAATGAAATGAAAGAAAAACTAGAAAACCAACCAACGCCAAATGATTAAACATTTATTGAACAGTTTATAAAGTATTAAAAATACTACACGACTAGTATTAAAAATTATATTCCCACAAATGTTTTCTTTTAAATAAAAAAAAAAAATTAATAGTAAATTTATAGAGGATTGTTAGATCCATTTAACGGTATTTGCTATTATGTGTAAAATTTACTGTTGTTTAATTTCTGAAATTTTCTTTAATTTAACATAGACTTTTTGTTGTGTTCTTAATATCAAACCATTTTCAAATATTAAATCTTCCAATTTTGTTATGGGCAATATATCAAAATTCTTTAAAATTGCCACCAAAACCGATTTCATTTCAAGTATGGCGAATTTTTGACCTAAAAGAAAGAGGTGAAAATTAGAAGTTTTGGTAAAAAAAAATTGAAGTGAAATATTTGTTTATAATCTCTATAGTAATGGTAGCACCACTTTTCCCTCGGGAGAAGGTCGTCAAGGTAACATGCACCGGGGAATTTCCTTCATAATTTTACTTTCTACTTACCAATACAATTCCTTGAACCAGCACTAAAGGGTACAAAAGCAAATGGATGACGTTTCGCCGATACATCCGCTAAAAATCTTTCGGGTTTAAAAAGATTTGGTTCGGGAAAATGTTTAGGATCGCGCATTATGTCATAAATATGAACATTTATTTGACAATTTGGAGGTAAAATTAAACCATTTAAACGAGTCTCTGCTGTAGAAATTCTAGCAACAAATGGTACAGAAGGATACAAGCGTAAAGTTTCCTTTAAAACACATTCCAAATATTCCAACTTATTAAAATCAAAAACGGTTAAGTTAGCAAAATCAGCTGAAAGAGAGCAAAACTTCTTAAATCGTTATAATTTCATATTTAATCTTTAAAATTTACCCAAATCTTGTATTTCTTTTCTACATTTCTGCTGCACTTCTGGATGTAAAGCTAAATTCAATATAGTAAATATCAAACAGGTGGAAGTGGTGTCATAACCCTCAAAAGTAAAAGTATTAACTTCATCACAAATACCCTGATGATCTATAAAACCTTTGGCCTCCTCTGCCAATAAAGTATCCAACATGGCATAACGTTTTTTCACACCAAATTCATTTCTTTTAATTAAAAAGAAAAACAAAAGTTTATGTATAATAAAAAATCTATAAACTAATCAAAAAATTCTTACTCCTGGGGATCATCTTGTCGAAGCCTTGTTTGTGCCAAATATTCTTGTCGCTTTTTCTTTATGATTTTACTACTAAAATCATGAGCTATCTTTATGCTATCCATTTGTTTTCTATACTCACCAAATAGATAAAATAATATTTTATAATATAGTAAAGGATTACAGAGTCTATGTACAATTGTTGTTTCAATATCATGTATAGTTTTACGATATTCCTCACTGCCGCTTATATCATCTAATTTAACTCCCAAAGCGGTTTCTGTAATATTTGTTGTACAATTTTATAGCTATAGTTTCTCTCTTCCATGAAATCCAAACTTACCACATATATTATTGAGTGTAAATTCTGTTATAATATCGGCTACATCTATGTCACTATTTTCCAGTTTTTGTAATTTATTTAAAAGTTTTACACTTTCCTCTCTGTGAAATGGAAAAAGTTTTGGAATTAGAATTAGTCACTGAGTGGGGTTTTAACCCGCTTTAATTCTATAGTTAATGATAATTTTTTTGATTCCATCGAAATAATGATAGAGTATAAGCTTCTGTAATGTCATTCAGGTCTTTGAAGTGTCCTCCGCGATATGTCCCTTTAGATCTTTCTTCGTGTGTATGATGATAACATAAAGTTTGACATGTTTAAGACTATCAAATTTGCATCAAAACTAGAACTAATCTATAAAAACTAAGCCCAGAAAGTATCTATATTCATTTGCTATTAAGCGATCATGATCCTCATGTCATTTTAATGATCAATGAATTCTTGATTTACGAATTCAATCGCTCTCTCATGTGAAAGAGTTATAGTTTCAATAAACCACTAAACGGGACCAAGCTTTAATAAAATTTTCTGATTAAAAATAAGGAATCCTTTGGAACGGAGAATTCAGCCAGTCTTCACTGACGGTTCCTAAACTGTTATGGATAATTTCCCCTGAGATCATATAATCGTTCTATAAGGAGTGTAAACAAAATTAATGAGGTAACTGTGTGTGTGTTTTCACTACATGCTAAATGATTTGGTTTTCATGGAGAAACGTCTCTTGATCTCTTGATTATGTAGGACCAAACATTGATAGAGCTGTCTGATTAAAAATAAGAAATACTTTGGGACTACAAGATCTCAGCCTAAAGTGGCTATTATGGCACTAACTGTGGAAGTTTTAAATTTGTAAGATGTATCTCATAGTTATCTCTGTGATCGTAGGATCGTCCATTTAATGAGATGAAGACGGTTAGCAGGAAACTCTGTATGCTTCCAGCGCATGCTAAATGATCCAAGATGTCGGAATGCCTTACGTGAAAACCTGCCGTGTTGGTCTTATTTCAAGGTGGTACTTTTTTAACCACCGGGTAAGGTGCATAGACGAACACCACACTTCGTGTTTCTTAAACACCGGTTTCTTACAGGGTTCTGCCGGTCATTGCTCAAGTACTCGAACTATCTAATCTCTGACAATTGCTAACTTTCGAGATGCAAATACATTACTTCCGTATATCCTAAATCCATCCTGTAACATATACCTTTAACACCAACTCATTTCCCACAGTCACTCCTCCGTGTTGTTGCCTACCCTATCTGTCCCGAGTTATAGACTTTAACGTGCTTCAGTCATTTAACTCGCATTATCTTCCCTAGAATTTGGGATTAAACTACAGCCACCACGTACACCCCGACGGGACCTCTCCAATAAGCAGTACAAGGAAAAGTCCGAAACTACCAGTTCCCGTGTTTCCAGATTATGAGGTTCCATGGCTCGACCCTATATCAAATTATTCCAATGAAATGAAGAGATTACATTTGATTACACCAGTTTATAGTCCCGGCAGACTAGAGAAGCAACTCTTTTATCCGGAATTGCAATAATACCAAGATATGGCCTTGGATCAAGTTAACATGTCCTCGGGGATGGGGCTAAAAGATCCAGTAGAAATTGATTTTCATGGAAAAAAAGTCTCTTGATCTTATTCAGATTGTATAATGCCTGCTCTGTCTTTCAGACTGAAATTTTCGCCATCAATAGAAACATACGAGAACTATTTCTCGAGATATCGTCTATAAACACACATATACTACTTTCTCACTTCGAATGTGAAAGTTTAAAAGTCTTTTTAATAATCTTCCTATTCCAAGTTAGACGACACTTTGTCGTCTTGATATGGGTTCCATAATGCGAAGGAATTTGGAGAAATAAAGTCGCAAAGGCTTAAACTATTTCGTAGAAGGATATTCATATTTCTCTGGCTGCGATATTGAACTAGATCAACAGAAAGATCGGTACTCAGAGGGTTTATTATAACCATTTAACCAGAATAAATAATGCTCTAGTCTACTTTTCACTGAATGGGACATTGTCTTTATTGGTACTTGACTAGTTAAAGATTAATATATACATGTCAAATTGTATGTAGAAGTTGTTTAGAATCGGTATAATATCTTCTATGTGACTCTTTATACTGAATGGTTCTCTCAGTTATCATAGGAATAATTATAGCGCGCATATTATGAAGAAATGCTTAAGCATTAAGCATATAAACCTAAGGAAACATTCCATACACTACTGATGGGTTATTATTCCTCAAAATATGAATGCATCTGATATTGGATAAAATGTTTATAAAGCTATTCGGGGGTACGCCAGCCGCTAGGGTTCCGTAGGCAATATAAAAGTTTCTATTGAGGCATTCAGAATTGGACATTAATAGCTGATAGACAAGGGTGGTCAGCGTTCACTTTGAAATCACCAAATGTTTTACTGTCTATACTATTTAGTAATTTTATATAGAGGCTTACATCATTGAGAATATTGGCAAAAACGAAAATTAGATAAAGAATCCACCGATTTCAACAATTTTCAAAGGAAGAGTGTCTGTAGCTTGTGCACAGGGTTTACATGGACCTACGAACGGACCGACAGAAAGTGATTCTGAGCTGATTGGTATACAGGTGCAGGGGGTTGCAAACATCACTACAAACACATAATACCCTTTCCACTATAGTGATATAGAGTATAATTACAATTCAATATCTCTGGCATTTTATAGCAAAGATCAAAGATCACACAACACGTTCCTGTAATGTCATTTAATCGTCATAAAATAATACTAAAGAAATCTCATTATATATTCTTATCTCACTAAATACAACAACTACAAACAAAAAACTTACTTGAAAATTTCATTAAAACTTTGCAAAACATTAAAATGAAAAGCGGGTGTTAAAATTTTACGTCTAAAATGCCATTTTTGATCTAAAATAAAAATAATTTTGGACAAAAGCAAAAAAACAATTAAAATTCAATTATATTGAATGAATAAATAAAATAACCCACCTGTACTTATTAATAAACCATCACCTAAAAATGGTTTTAATAATTCATAGATAACACTTTTTGTTATAATCGTAGTACTTTGAAATACTTCCTCGGCGTCTTCAGCACTTGTTATGCTATAGACAGTGGAAAATAAAAAATGTAATAAATAGCTTTTACCCCTAGAAAAAGCATTTTTTTCACGACAAAAATTAAATAATTTTTCTAAAAATAAAAATTAAATTTTAATTAATAACCTTATAAAACTTATGTTAAACATTTCCTTTACCTGGTGTCATGCTTAGCAAATCAAAATTATTGCCAAATCTTGTTAAACCCGGTATAATGACAATTTTTTCTTCTAACGGTCTACCATCTATGGTTTTAATACGTTTACATAAACTTAAGATGTAATAATCTTTATTAAGTTTAAACAAATATTTAATTAATATTAATAATATCAAACATAATATTAGTAAAATCCACATATTGTTTATAGAATGTAAATATTTATTTAAGAATAATAGTTGTTGTTGATTTTTTAAATTATAATGTTTTCGGTTTGAATTATCTTTTTGTACTAAATATAAAATATTCTTTTTTAATTATACATGCATGACAGTTTTAGTTCATTTAGTGTATGAGTGTATTATATACATATATAATCTGGAATTGTAATATTTGAAAAATATGGCATTTATTCACTCTCTCTATTGATAATAATTTTTTTAAAGTTTTTTTTGAATCATTGTTATGAAGCTGAGTTTGATTGTGTTTTTTTCTAGTTGAATGACATTTTCTTAAAACAGTTGAGGTCAGTTAAGTAGCATTAATAGATAGTGAGGGATTTTAAGTTTTATAGACAAAACATTAGTTAAATATCTAGATCAATCTTTGTCATTATACAAGTACCCGGCTTAGAAGACTTTCTTTAAGTTCAGGTATCAGGTATCAATTTTCAAGGTCCTAGAAGACCTTGAAAATTGAGCAACTGTGTGCGCGGTATATAAAGCAAGATAATCGTAATCGATCCTAATTTAATTACATGATCTTTGCCATTATACAATGGCTGAACTTAGAGGATTTCCCTCGAGAGCATGTTACCTAGGTGGATGAGAATTGGGTGGCGTATAGACGCTTAAAGTCGGACATGTCCTGGGAGGACTATTCTGAGTTCTTTAATTCCTTATTTTCAAAAGAGTCCTATGCTGAACTTAGAGGATTTCCCTCGAGAGCATGTTACCTAGGTGGATGAGAATGGGGTGGCGTTTAAACGCTTAAAGTCGGACATGTTCTGGGATACCTTTTCTGAGTTCTTTAATTCCTTATTTTCAAAAGAGTCCTATGCTGAACTTAGAGGATTTCCCTCGAGAGCATGTTACCTAGGTGGATGAGAATGGGGTGGCGTATAGACGCTTAAAGTCGGACATGTTCTGGGACACCTTTTCAGAGTTCTTTAATACCATATTTTCAAAAGGATCCTATACCTTTCCACAGGCTGATGTTTTGAACAATTTTATGGATTTGTCTCTCGTGGTACGAAACTGTTATTTGAATACCTTTTATGAACCTTTTTTCCATAGTGATCCTTTTCGGTACAGAAGTATAAAGACTTTTGTCAAAGATTCCGAAACTTTTTTAGGATGTGTGATAGGTATTTCTAATTATTTCACCTTAACTGTGTATTTTTCATTTATCATTAAATTAATCGCTTTCTAATTTCACCGTAAACAAATTTTACGCTTATTCATAAAAAACTAATACTTAAATAATGACATATACACGTACTTAGAACACACATATAGATGCATGCAAGCGTTTTTATTGATCTATAAATTACTTATTTTATAAGTGATAATGAACTATTTACACCATTATCTAATCTCTGAGAAGTGACTCCCTGATTAAACGTTGTTAAGCTTAATACTAGTTTTAAGTAGACTTTACGCTGTTATCGTAAATAACAAACAAATCCGCTTAAACTGATGTGATCACCACGTGAAAATTGTTAAATGTAATTGTTAGCTTCAGAAAGAACAATCGAGCAATTTTGAACATTAATTGGAGTCAAATAAGTTTATTTATTAACTCCTTCGGTCTTTAATTTGACATTGAAAGAAATTCTTGAAATATTTTGAGAAAGACTATAGCCCTAGATATCTCAGAAGGTCATTAAGTTTAGACCCAGATAACTAACCAAATTGGATGTGAAGTAATTGCAGAGATTCCCCTGGCGACTAAAGCAGGTCATTCGGAGAGAAGATGGAAGAAAGTTTCTTCCTTTTCCCAGTCTTTGCAACCTCAATGTTCCCGTTGAGTATCTCTTGATCTTCGCCTAGCAGGGCGCCAGTATATGTTGGGGAATTTTCACGTTGACACTTGGTAGTTGCCAGTCATTCCGTAGATCGTTCTTTTTGCTCTGATAATGGAACTGATGTAATTGGTGAACGATTGGGAAAGACTACTCTGCCCGACAGGAGACTAGTACTGTTTTAGTAGACCTTTTACTTCAGGGAAGTTCTCGGTGCTGTTGCCATCTCAACAGGATTCATATTGTTTCATGCTACGCGACATATGGTTGAGGGCCGTTTTCTCAACTCGTCGGTGCAATTATTGGGTTCGAATTGACTTTGGAAATTTCTGCATCCTTCATCTGAGAGATCCTGATTTATTGGCTGGATATTTCTCAGTAGTGTGGTTGCGCGGGCTTTAAGAGGTTAAGGAAAGCACTTGAATGGGTCATTAGATGGGTCATTAGATGGGTCATTAAATAATGCAATCCGGTATACCGGAAGATTGATTTCTCCTGATGTTGGGGTTTGTCGCCCCTTCTATTGACTTTAGACCAGTGATTGCTTTTTCTGGATGAAAAAAAAAACAACCGTGATATAAGGCCGTCATGACAGGTGTTCACGTTAAGCTCTCGACATTCGTAAGCATTCTCGATGTAGTATTGTATAGTATTAGATCCAGTTTGTAACTGCGAAATATCTCTGGAGGATATTATGTTTACACCCAGATAACTTGTCAAGATTGTATATGAAGTAATTGCCAAGAATTCTGGTTACCTTGGCGACAAGAGCAGGCCGTTCGAAGAGAAGATAGAAGACCGTTTGCCGATGTAGTACTATCAATAAGGAGGTCAATAAGTTTACACAAAGAAAATTCACCATGTTTGGATATCAAGTAATTGCTAAGGAATCTGTTTTTATAGGAGGCTAGAGCAGAAGATACACATAAACCGATAATTCAACCTATTTTAAGGCTTTAGAAAAATTTATGTAAAGATACTCTTGTTGTTAGACTTCAGCGGTATTTGCCACTGAAGTCACACTGGAGATATCCAAAGCAGATTCCTTTTCCACACTAAGGTGATGTCAGGCAGACGACCCAGCCTATATAAATCATTCTTACATTGTCTGACTAATAGGGTTGTGGTGTTATAAGAATTTAATCTTTCAGACACTAGAAACATTCGGTGGACGATGATTCGAATCCCAAATTCATCGCAAAAACACCAGAGCCAACGCTGGATATTACCGTAGCTGTCAAAATGTTTTGAAGCATCTTGCTAAGTGCTTCTTTTAAAGCTTAAATTCTGGAGGGTTTTAGAAGTCAATATCGGAGCATATCAATATCGTCTATAATAATTATTGCAGAAGCATTCGGAATGTATTGTCTTAAGGCATTTTTCTAAGCGGTTCTTTTAAAGCTTTATTTCCGGCAAGTCTTAAGGATACTACAGTGTCGGTCCATATGTATATCGTCTTTAATAATTACTGCAGAACCAGTGGGAATTTAATGTATTAAGGCATCTTGCTAAATGCTTAAGTGAAGAAGAAGAAGTCAGGACAGCTGTCGGAATTTAACGTTAAAGGAGTCTTACTGAGATCTTCTGGATCTAGAGGAACTTAAGGAAAAGTTAGTGTCTGAGCGCTTGGATATAGATGATTACAGGAGCAGTGAGAGAGCTTATCTTGATACTTATAAAGTGAGAGAGCGAGAGAATTCATCAACTTTTAGACATGAATTGTTCCAGATATAGAACGTGTTTCCTGAATCATTAAACCCCACAAATTTATATATAATACTGGAACAGAGAGAGTGTTTTCTTAAATAAAGAACAGAGAGGGAGATAGGGAAAGTCACTTTTCTTTTGAGAGAACTTTAAAAAGGGCAATGGTTCCAGAAATGTAAAGTAGTATAATTTAGTCTCCAAATTCTTTCGGATTAACAGCAACAGACTATACTGGCTTTCGGTTGGAGAAAATGTATGGATAATACTGAAAGATTGAGAGAGCTATCTTACTTCTGCTAATGTAAATCTGTCGATTGAAGAATATATAGTCCAAGGAGAAGTCAATAGAACACAACTTAATAAAGAAATGGAAACATACAACAATTAAAAGGCAATACTGATGACTATATTTAGTATAAATATACCTCAGACTTCCACAAACATTTCTATATGGATTTCAGTAGTATATAACGCCTAACAAACTTCTTTCTCAATACAGCAAACTCAGCTCACAAATGACACATGCTGTCACTCATTTCCTCAACTCTAGCAAAAGTAATAAAAAACAATAAGGCAGAAAACATTTAAAATAATCATCATTCTTCATCATTCGTCATTATTCCATCATAACAATTTAAAAAATTCCCATCCTTAAGAAGATTGTTATTATTATTACTACAAACTATCTTGAATTATGGTCATTTTGACAAATATAGAAACTTAGCAACAAGTGTACAAGCACATTGAAATCCTGTAATATGGCCATAAAATGTTAATAACTTTAATTATAAAGATTGACATAAAATCTCCTTAAATGTCAAAATGCAACTATAAAGAATAGAAAAAACATAAAGAAAATGATAGAATGTATAAATGTATAAAATTTTTAAAGCTAGATAAGATCGAAAGAAAGAGAGAGAGAGATACGAGATGTGAAAAAGATAATCAATAGAAAAGCAACTACTTGATATAATACCTACCAAAAACAACATCAAATTAATAATGTTGCCACAGCATCGATCATCAAATCCTAAAGCGATGAAATAAATTATTAAGTTTTTTCAAAATTCAACCACTTGCTGTTATAGCGTTCAACTTTTATACGTTTATGGCTGGTTGGTAGATCATTTACAGCAACTAGTGGTTAACTTGACTATATTTCAAGTTGTTGGCGGTAAATAAATAAGATAAATCGATCGATCGATCGATCGTTGGATGGATCGTTTGTTCGTTTGATTATTAATTCATTCGCTGGCAATGATGATAATGATGTTGTTGTTTCCAAATCCACAACTCTTATTGATGGATGACTGTTCCTGTCGCTAGCATTGCTATGTTAGTTGTTACAAACATGTACAAATGATTGCAACTCCATAGTTGTTATTTGTAGACACTTGCAACAGACAGACATATATTTCACCAACTGATCAGCTTATTTAATATGTATAACTCCAACTACTACTACGACTACTACTAATAATGATGATGACTATCAATAGAAAAAAAGGAAAAAGATGTCAATCATATATTACTACTAGGAGAGAGAAAGAA